CTTATAAGGACCTCTTATTGTATTCGTACATGTGTGTTTTCTTTTTGCAGAGCCCGAGGCTTCAATTGAGAACAGACGCCTTAGATGCCAGGTAAATAAATGTGTTGTCAATGTGTAAAATTTTTCTTTTTATGATGGTTAAACGTGGAAAACAAACTTTAATATTCAATTTTTACAGGCATAAGACATTTCGGTCGGTAAGTTTTTCTAACATGACGCTTAAGTCAAGAAATTGATACTAATAATGTCGGGTTTTTTTAAAGACAGTAATTTGTAATTATTATTATACTTAAGGACAATGAAAACGCACGCCCGCACTATATGTATTTTATTACATGAAAACAAAACACTAACGACTCAGTTAGATATATATCATTACTTTAATACAAAACACATTTAACAACTGAAAATAATTTAAAATGTTTGAAATCAAATGGACACCAGTAAATCGAAGAACCTAAGGTGAAAATCCCAAAATCACACTTTTTCTTCAGAGAAATGGCAAAAACCAAAATGAAAATCCAATACAAATTCACTCATAAATGTCTATTCGTAATGTCACCGTCGGGATCTTGAGAAACGACAATGTCCTCCATCAGCGTCTCTTACAGATGTACATCGTCGCCTCATAGATCTTACGGTGCGGATAGTCTGACGCCATTTGGCCTGTAGTGTAGTGCAGAAACGCTGGTGAAGCCCATAAATTGTAGACCGATGGACACCAAAACGATTGGCGCTTTGTTTGTAAGATAGACCAGGCTGAATCTGTCCTGAATAAACCCAGCGGTAATGGTTTCTTTGTAGAACCATTGCATACAATTTGCTAGCAAGTCTTCAGTAGTGTTTGAAATTTATCACCTTTTTATAGAGGAAAAGTGAGAATATGCAATTTCCATGTGAGCTTTTACGTTTTCTAAAACTGACCATTGGCATAGTTTAATTAATTTTCATAAAGATTTTAATTGCTCGTTTGTGTCTAACATTTCTAGAAAGGTGTGTAAAACAAGTTTATAATTAACAGTTTAAAAAAATAAATAATTTCATTTCAAAAAGTAATCATTATTTTGTTCAATCTGTTTTTCTGTTGTGATCTTATCACAATTAGCCAAAAGTGTTACTTTTGATTCTCCGGGTACTGTCTTTATTATGCAATAATTTTATTTAAATGCAATCATTTTTCATAATGTTGGTATCTAAATGACCGGAATGCATTCGGTTTTATGAAACTGTGAAAAAATATTTAAAAGAAATATATTTTCCTTGTTAAAATGCAATTATCCCGACCATGCGTTTTCACTGTCCTTAAGTATATATTATGCACATTCTGACTGATGTTTTGCTATTCAGAGAATCACTTTTGCAAGGTTGTTTTAACGTCTGAGAAATTTACTAGTTTTTTTTATTGGCAATAAGTCACAACTTGGGACTTACCATCATGAAGTGTGATACAGGCAAACCAACCCTCTTTCGATGAAAGTGTCAACAAAAAATCAAGTCAGTTTGTGTCTTTTAACGCATTAGTATATGATTATATATTGTTATAAACATTGCAAATAGCTGTAAAGACAAATGTTTTAACACTTAATTGATGATGCTATGTTGTGTATACTGCTATACCTTTTTTAAATTTTAATTATAGGGCTGTAAAGGTAGGAATAAGACATTTGTGGTATATCTAGCGGCTTTTCTCATTGTTGTGTGTTGTTTTATATACATTGTATATATTCAAACAAACGCTAACAGGTAAGTATTATTGTTTTACTCTATTTAAACGTTTCAATATTTTCATTCATGAACACCAAATAAATAAAAAAGCTGCAGACTGATTGAATAGGTGTAATCAACTGACTTGTTATGTGTTAACACAGTAACGGTATTTGATTTTGAAACCTTAACACAGAAATTAACAATTTGGCCATTCAATAATAATAACAATAATTATTATAATAATATCTATCATCTGTTGCCGAGTTTTTGCCGATAGGCGGGTTCCCGAGGGACGGATATTCTGATTCAAACCGCTAACATAAGTCACATAAACTATCCTGCATATTTTATAATATTCCATTATATTTAAAATTCTTTACCTAAATAAAACAATTTTCCATGGAATTTTATGTCACCGGAAACGCCAGTCTGATATGCAAGAAAAAACATGTTAGCAAAGTAAGTTGATGTAAGTGATGGTGAAACAAGTTTGCCGGATGACATAATCAACTTTTTATATCTATGTTTTAACTGATTCTGGTCATGTTGCCATTATCATCTCTTTGAGATCAGTAAGCATCAGCATGGATAACAAAGTCACCCTCTTAAAGTCATGAACTATTTCTTGACAAGTTTCATTTTTTGAATGCACAAAATAAGAACGCTCTACTATATAATTGTTTTAACTATTTGAAAATTCGCATTCTTAGCTGCTTCATTTTACTTCAATTCAATTGAGATTTTAGTTTTTATGCTTATTTGAATATTTTACTTCAGGGATTTGATGGAAATACTTACATCGTCAAACCAACATGAAAATGGATTACTTGGTGGACAGATACAATCAGACAATACGCAGAAACATTATCTGAATATTGGTAAATAGTTTGGCAATACATAATCAATCTAAACAGCTTTAAATATGCTAAAATATAACATTTAAATAGTAGAAAAGACTCGATTTAGCTAAATATGGATGTAAGCTTTAAAGACCCTAGAATAATAAAACTAAAAATCTGGAAACAAAGTGATCCCTCGGATGCTTTAAGCACAATAAAATTACAAGAGAATTGCAGACTCGGTTTGATTGAGACTTGTATTGGACTTAAAATCAGTTGGTACTATTGAGGGTGTTTATCCGATAAAATATAAAATAACATTTTGCCCCAAACCTTTGTATAACATTATTGTCTTTAAATTTATATACACGATAAGTAGCCACGATTTGTTTGTAAAAAAGATTTTGCGAAACACAAGACCAACGTTTAAATGTCTGAAGTATTTGCACAGGTTTAAATTACGTGTGTATTTTGACGAAATTTTACCTCAAGTTTGGAAAGAATCAGTTCCATAGTAATAACTAGCAAAATAGCACAGTCGTACACAAAACAAATTGTAAATATTAATAAGGTAACGTTTAAACTACTTACACAGTGTGTCCAAAATAAATGTTAAACAGTCAACGGAAATAAACAACCAATTGTTAGATTATGTTCCAGTTATGCGTGATGTGTATATTTTCATGAATTGCATCAACTTTTTAAGCACTAACAATTCTATATGCTTAATCTGAATGCAGGGATGCGCCAAGACTATCTACTCCAAGAATGTCAAGGGACTCACTTTAAACTTTCGTTTCCGGACATCGACTATGCTTTAATGGGCTACAACATATTGCGTGGTTTTCCTCTTGCAACTGGACATGACCCTGGCTTTACGTACCCGATCTTTGCTGCCAATTACGAAAACGAAAAGCAAACAGCCGATTGTCGCTATAGTGTCCCACAAGGTCTTGTTGTGGTCCCGGACGTGTCGTGCATTACGTCGTTTACATCAAAAGTCGTTCAAACACAATACGAGTTTGCTAATTCACTATCAGTGTCTGCCAGTGTAAGTGGTGGTGGGTGGGGTTTAAGCTTTTCTGCAAGCGCCGATTACAAAGCATCTTCGTCACAAATATCAACTGGAGAGTCCGTTTACATACTCTCCTCGGCGAGCTGCAATTATTACTTCAGCAAACTAGTCAAGCGGTCACCTCCACCGCTAGATCCTGTCTTTCTTAGCTGGGTCAAAAGACTAAGTAGTACAAACTCCACTGATGTATATTTAGAATTCCTTGACACATATGGTACTCATTTTCCTACTGAAGTCACATTTGGAGCAAGGTTTACTTACGAACATAAAATGGAATCAAAGAAGTACGAAACTCAAATTGAAAGTGGAGTCAACGTTGAGGCCTCTGCAAGCTACTCTGGTTTATTCAATGTCGGCGGAGGATTTTCTATGGATTCTTCCCAAAAACTAAAGGCTTCTGCATTTTCAAAATCAGTGGAAACGAAAACAATTTCAGTTGGAGCAGCGCCTCCTGCAAACGGCGACGCAATGACATGGGCTTCAACAGTGAAGGACAGCCCTGTGCCATCTAGCTACAAACTTGCGTCGATAGAGGAGCTCTTTACAGAAAAGTATATGAACCCGGCCGAATTAAGCGTTAATCTTGCCCATATTGCAAAAACCATCAATAAAACAAAGCACGCATATTGCCAGAGTATGATATCTAAAGGTGAAGTGGAATCGTGCCAATCACTGACCCCAGGAATGATGCTTGATGGGACAATACTTTATGATAGCTATGCTTCAATAGTTTCAACGTACAAAGAATGCATCGACCATTGTTTGAAACTTATTGATTGCGTCGCCATTACATATTGTGCAACTTGTAACAAATATAATATCTATTATCAGAGTTGTTACATGCACAGCACAATCAAGAACATTTCTGGAGATGAGAACGCCGAGTGGAAATCCATGCTTTTAATCGGGAAATCGAGTAAAGACCTTATTTTTGTTGGTACGGATATTAAAGGTACAGAAAGGGAGTTGGATGTAGATGATAAAAGAAACATAAATAGTACAAAATGTAAACAATTATGCATTGACGATCCCCATTGCATTGCGTACAGCTACTGCGACTGCGACGAAGTTGAACAAAAATGCAAACTTTATAGTTTTGAGAACATTGGAGGATTTAAAAGAATGTCAAGAACAACGACTGTCTTTGTTGCAAAATAAGCAGATCGATCAAATTGAATGGTTACATTTTAATAAAGAATGAACATTTACCTGGAAAAAATGGAACTACGCTTTCAGCATTCTTTTTGTACAATACTTATATAACTATATGTGATGATTTACAATTTATTGTATTTCTGTGTACATATTTACATGCATTTAAGAAAAAAGATATATTTCCTTAAAACATTATTTTTCTATTTCCCTATGAAAACTTTCTATATAAAAGCAAGTTAGTTTTATTGAAAGTTCCTTACTTCAATTACGATACAATATTTCTAAAAGAACAGGTTTTTAGCAAGTTAGAGGAAATTAATTTTCAACGTTGTTGAGAGCTACATATTGAATATGGTTTATAAACCTTCCAATTTGGAAATTACGTCACATTTCAAAATGTCGTTATGGATATTATGTATTTGGACGTCCTTGAGAACGGGTTCTTTTTAATGTCTTAAGAATCGCCTTAAAAGGCTCAATCAAACCGTGCCTGCAAGATTTTCATTTTGCCGTTTTGGACTTTCTTTAAGGCTTCTTATTTTCTCTATTTTATCACCACATTGAACAGCGTTGTTTGTGCCGTGTGAAGGCTGTAAAAAGTCGCCCCGTACATTCAATATCAGAGATGTTATATTTTCGATCCTTTAAGATGGTTCAGCACAATATTATTTACTAGTTGGGTGGTTCCAATATTCCTAATTGAGTAATGTTGAATCACCCATAGCTTATATTGCCTGCCTTTAATCTTTGTCTTTTGACGTCTTATCTGTGATAATTATGCGACTTCATAACCTCTGATCTTCTTTCAAAATTCCATTTTATTTAGTTCTGCCTATTTTCTTCTCGTTTAGGGCACACGCTTTCTATTACTTGGGGACACTACGCTGCTTTTCATGAAATGACACAGAAGTGTCACATTGAAGGTTCCATAATAACCGCCGTATGGTAACATGCGGGTGTTTCTAAATTCAAAATTTGCCGTTTCATATTTAAATGTTGAATTCTGCTTAAGCCGGTACTAGGGGGCGTGGACGGTAGTTTGTACTTGACAGTATCGTCTATGAACAGGCTCAATCAAAAGGAGCCTGTATCATTTTCATTTTGCCATTTGGACTTTCTTTAAGGGTTCTTATTTTCTCTATGTTAACGTTATAATAGTTATTATAGCTATTTTGAGGTCAAAGCAGAGCTAACAATATAAGATTGAGGTTTGATGCTTACATCGTCTTTCAACTTAAATACGAAGGACTAGTTAAAGATTAAATTTAAATTTAAAAATGTACATGTATTTCTTTACGTGTTCCTATGAATGTGAAGTACTTGAAGAAACATCAACGTAGCAATGACCATCCTTTTATTCGTATTTCTTTTGTCAGCACAACCTATAATTCTTATAAATTAATATTCCAAAGTTTAAATAGATGCTACAGTTTTGTACTTTGTCAGTATCATACTTTTTGTATTGGTGTGTGTAGTATGAAGTCATTGTACAGATAAACCTTAAGATATACCGATGTACGGAAGGTACAATAACTGATGTCATCGCATAGGAAGGTTATAAGGTTGTTCTTTTGTGCCGTGTGTTAACGGTACCGTTGCATCATAGATGACTGTGGTTTATATATACATTATGAGATGATAATTTTTAGGAGGATGTCTTTTTCAGATGGAGGGGGATTATGACGTCATTAATCCGAATTAATCCGAGATAAGTAGGTAAAGCTTATCCCCTGAGACAGTGGCTCTTTCGAAAATTGAGACATGATTATTATGTCATTAATTCGAATTAATGCGAGATTAGTAGATAAAACTTATACCCTGAGTAGAAAATTTTTGATCATCTTTATGACCTGAGACAATGGTTATTTTGAAATTGATGATACATTAATGATAATGCTTATCCCCTGAGACAATGGTTCTTTTGAAAATTGATGATTTGTAAAAGTACAAATGAATATTTTTAGCCAGACTCAATCTAATTATTTTCTTTAAAAAAGATGTTAAAATGTTAGCAATTTTGTTGTATACTTAGGGCTCTATGGATATTCAAAAGGAATTGGCAAATACATGTTGAAAAATAATGTAAAGAATGTTTCTGAGTCTTAAAATGGCCACAATATTGATATCAAACGATGATGATATCAGAGTGCCACTGTTACACAAAGTTGTTTGGAAAGCATACGTATGGACAGCAATTATTGATCTTACAAATGGATTAATGTGTTTGCTAATATCATATTGCAAGAAAATTATTATTCTCGCGCTAAGAGCACGTATACCCTTAAGTCTTATTGTAAAAAATTGCACATAACACCACTAGAAGAGTTTGTTACCTCTCTTTAAACAATTATTTTACAACATGTAATTTGAAGCTCAAAATATGTTGAAAGAGAGCATTGTGTGGCCAATTTTATTTATAAGATGTCAGCTGGTGAATGGGATTTGCTTATGTATACCTTTAGAAATATGGTTTTCAATTAATAAATGTCAGCTTTTATGCTAAGATTTTGAAATGAAACATCTTAAATGCATGAAACATGCACCATTTTAATGATGTACACCTTATTCTGCTCATAAAATACATGCTTTTTTGTCAAATACATATTATTAAATATTTAGCAGTATTGGTGTGTCCCATTTTAGAAACAACATGCATCATTGTAAAATTTTAAATATTATTAAGAACACTGTATGCAGAACACAAACACATTTGATGAAACAAAAAACTTATTCTTTTTTAATAATGAAATAATTAAAAAAACAAACAATCTAAACAATATTATTTGTTAGTATATATGGAAATAAAACAACATTTATTTTACATATTTGGGTGTATCAGAATATGTAACTTCGGATGATAATACATTTAAATTGATAGATGCATTATTGTTACAATCATACATGTATAAAAAACAATTACGATGATATACTTAATTTATCATATTACAAGTGTATGTAAACATTCATTACATTCATTTTATCTGCACAGTGAATAAATGTTGTTGTAAAAGTAAATTTGAAACGAAACCCTTTTGGGAAAATTAAACATTTCTGTTTGACATACCATTCATTCATCTTTTTGATAAAGAAGATGTATTTGCAATATGAATGAAATACAAGCACCAAAACCTACTTATAGATATTCCTCCTACATTCTTACAGAATACCTTAGATCAATAGACTTTCCTTTTAGATAATTTAATATTGTCATATTCAAACCTTCTAAGCTTGCACAATCTACCCAATAATCAAAAATATATAATACTATTCAAAAGGAAAATTAGAGATAACTAATCAAATCATGTAATAGAAAATGTTGTATCATTTTACTTGTAATAAAATTGAGCCTCTACTTATATTTCATTTTGATATAATATACTGTATATAAAATATCTACATTTATAGTCAAAGAAACTTGATTTAATTAGATAATTGATACACCTGAAACGATCTTCTCAATTTCAGTAGAAATTAACAAAAACAGAGGTATATTTTTCATAGTTGCTTTGTAAATATTTAATAAAACATTTGCTTGACTAAATCAAAATTTAAAGCTAGGAAAATCAGTTCTTAATGCCAACCATAGTGCATGTTTTAATCTGCTGCCTAGAATGATTGTAGTGCTCTATATATTTAAAAACTATTTGCATCGTAAGTTTTGAGGTACCCAGCCCAGTAATCACTAAAGGCAGATATTTTTAAAATATATTTTGATTTTGCAAACTATGTCTGTACATTTGAAAAATGTATGTGTTTGCCATATCGTATGATCATTGTTTAAAGTTAGGTAACCTACGTAACCTACTTTCATATAGGGGTGGTTTCAAAATATATAAATATCATATAAAGTTTTACAGAGTTACAGTATCTTAAAAAGTCAAAATTCACAAAATAATATTTAATACTATATTTCAGAGAAGTATGATACTTCGATTTCGGGAAAATAAACCGAAAGAGGTAAAATTCCGGTTGCCTAGAAATTGATAATAATCTTGAGAAGACCCAGCTTTGGTCTGTCGCAATATGGATTTATAAAGTTAGGTAAAATCAATAGTCTGGATTATTCAATTCACATACCAGGAATTCTATTTTTAGTTTGGTTTGTTTCGCTTCCTCTTTGCATTGCTTTGTCATGGTCGTCTACATGACGACGATGTAATGTTACCATAATAGAAATACCTGTATGGGTTTTCAAGGTGTTTGCCTTGATTTCAAGACAAATATGGGTATAACCTTTCGTTACTCATTGAAGTAATATCAGGTCGTACATGTCAGGTGAAGAAATATGATATACCTGAAACAGGCAAAAGACAAACATAACATAAAAGAGGTACATTGACAGGTGTACGGAAAGTTTTAGAACTGTTCTCTCCAAATAAGACATTGATAGGAGACTGAAATGTAGTTATTTTTAAATGAAATCAAATGTTACTGTTCAAAACTGTTCACTATTTTAAGGGGAGATGATGTGTAAGCGGTCGAATAGCCCTGTGACACAAAAATAGTCAAATTATAGAACACCGATTGGAGAAGGAAGAGTTGTGTAAAGATTTAGCAGGGGGTACCTGATCCGATTACAATATGCTTGAATGCAGTCAGAGATAAGATTCTTTTTCAACTTCAATAATTCACACAGGTAGAATTAATGGTTAAGACACACTAGAAGCAGTCATTAGGCGTGACTCTGTAATTTGATTGCTATGTCTATGCTTACAAAAGGGGGGTTTATTTTAGTAACAAAAGAACACAAGTCAAACAAATGTACTAGGTCATTTTACAAATCCCATTCATTAAGTTACCAATGTTCAAAAGAACTATTCTTTTTATTTATCGGATCGTACAATTGTAGTATGAATGCAAAAGGCAGCTTAAAACAGTAACTTACTAGGCCATTACTTACCTTAAGAAAGATTTTATAAATGATATATTGTTTTGAAATTTGAAATAACATGCATTAAACAAAAAATTATACTTCTTTTTTGGTTTTATTTGTTTATAGTATTTAATGTACTTAATTATAATGAAGGAAAAATCTTAAATCAAGTGTCTTGTATAGAACTGTTGCGATTGATCATTAAGGGATTGACAATACAAACAATTTTGACTTACCTTTTACGTTTGGATGTCTATTGATGTACGGATGACCAAAGGTCAAATTATTTAGCAGAAATAATTGGATATACGTCATTC